AATGAAGATTGATGGTAAATAGATAACTTCAAAACCATAAACAAACTCGGTGTACTACCCGGAAAACTTCTTGAACAACGACCTTAGATAAGGAAGCCTGCGCATTAGCAATTTTACATACAAAAACGTCTATTTGTCTGTAGTTTTGTTCAAGAAGTTAGCCGCTACTTATACAGAGTTTGTGAGTCAGTTGGTATTTAAACCATAGATAATAATAAATATTTCCAACATATAGAATAGATTGAACGTCCTCTGTACAACTGTAAATTGGGCAAGTGTGAAAAAGCTGAAGTGATCGTGCGTCATTAGACGCAGACGAACGAACTATTAAGTTCTTATAGGTATTTGCTGCACGATCGTTTTTTCTCTTTCTAGCTAGAGAGTCGTCAATTTCATATGAGAACCGCTCAGTTCATTCTTTTCTTTGTCTATGGTTTAAACTAATCAATAGATGAGTTCGGTATTTGCTTCTGATCAATCATTTTAGTCTGATCGTTCTTTTATTAAATCTAGAGCAAATCTGAAGCGTTCGGTAATTCCGCTCAGATCAGTCCGATGTAAATCTGTTTGGTCCGAGTATTTTGACGGACGAGAAAGATTAATCAGGTTATCTGTCATGTTGTGGGGTCATCTACGATTGCTCGGGCCGGTAATAGCAATTTGCGCAGATTAATCAATGATCACGTGACCACAAATTCGTCGCCTCTGCGATGCAAATACCGAACGCAGCTACTATAGTGCGACAAAGATCTTTATGAAGGTGGCGAAAATTGGAACTAACGCCACCGTCTTTGTAAACGTCATAGTTTTTATGACATTTACGTAAAACAGTGGCGCGCTCCCTGAACTGTCACTCAGTTTCATAAAGATCCTTGTCGCACTGTACAAGTTATAAGTAGCACAAACATACACATTCTATGATGTTCAATTATAGGCAGAGCACGCAGCTTCGTCATTAGCCTTAAAAGTAACGAAAAACAAAGCAAAAGCAATTGAGCAATAAAAGTTACCATATTGTCAACGACAAAGAAATGTTATAAATAGTAGGTACGTTAACACAAATCGGACGCAACACATCACACCCCTTTTACAAGGAAACTAGTGGCTTAGCATTTTTATAATTCTTTATATACGAAAACAGAATTCCATGAAGCTTATTATAAAAGAAGAAGAACACACAAAGAAATAGAAATAAAAATCGGTGTGGGCAATAATTCTAAACTTCTAACAACTCATATTCTAAACAAGCATTATCTAAATAGAGATCCGTTTAATATAATAGGCAATGTAGATATAATTATATATTTATAGTAATTACTATTTTTGCAATGTTTTCTAGTTGAACGTCTCGTTTAGGTGTCTGTGTCGATGTTTTCATTATTAAGATAAAACACGCTTTCTTCAATAAAAGATTTGAGAATTAAATCACGCGTCCACTGGATGACACTTCCAAGAATTAAATTACTGGTACTTACATATTTCTTAGATTTTGCTGCATCAAAATGACAAATTTAATGCATGATACGTATAACTATATCAACAATGGTTGACGGTACACCCAGAGAGAAACAACTCTTAATAAGAGCATATTGTGTTAAGAATAATAAAATATATTTAAGGTACTCTCGAAGCCTTCTCGAGCATTTAAAGACAAAGAACTAGGTATGAAAAAAATGGGTGCGTGTACTTATGTAGGCGCGTGAGAAGTTATCCTTCTTTGGCATTGTTTAAAATTAGTTTTTAATTGCATGCAAATAATTAATTACAATAAATTAATAAAAAGTCTGGAAAAGGACGAAGTCAATAAAGTTCAGTTTTAATTTGAAAAAATAAATAAATAATCAAAATATTCAATTAAAATCGCTACTGAATATAATTTATTAGAACATATGGGATTTGCACTTGTATGAAACTCAAACACGTATTCCGAATATACAAACTAGAAACATGTGGATAAATATTATAAATATGAATACCTATAACTGTTACTTTATTACAAAAAATAAAGATGTGGTTTTTGGTTCTACTACACCAATGGTCAAGAGATGGCGCTGTAGTCTCCTGAATCGCGCTTTGGTTCCGTTGTTCCAGATGATTAAATACTTTTGATAGGCCTTCACAATGCAGTCGTTAGCACCCACTAAATAGAGATTCTATTTCTATTTTGTTGATAGATTTTCTTAATGTGCGGTAAACACAAAAGTATCGCATGAAGTTGGTCGCTTTAGCGATAATGTTAAAATTTTGTGTTACAGTGATGCGCGCGCATCTTAAAATTTCACTCTCATCATTTTTTCATAACGCGCCTAAAGAAGTATAACTTCAAAAAAATATCTTACAAAGAAATGCGTTCCGCGTATGTTAATTTACTCCCGTTTACTTTACTATTCAATAAAACCGAATGTTCATTATTCTGTCGAGTTCCCATGAGAGACAGAGTCATGTGTTTATTTCTGAGTTTATTTCGTTAAGAAGAAGACTTTTATGAGAAATGAGGTAAAGACGTTTTACTTCTTCCTGCTACTTTTCTTTTTGGACTTTCCCCGTATATAGATTGAGAATAATGATACGATATATACATATATCACGTTCTTATCATATGCTGCTCTTGATTAAGGGGCTATTAGTAAGTACACACAGTAGCTCTCCAAACTACAAAACTGTCAATATCCTCGATTTAGATAAGGACAGCCCAATTTTTGTTTTAATTTCAACTGTTATCACGTAACTTTGATTTAAATTATCATTATAAAGAACAACTATGAATTGGTATTAAAGTACCACATAATTTGATTGTTGGAAGAATCTGAAAAATGGTTAGGTACCTTATTAAAATAAACGGGTACACCAATATGGCATCCGCGTAAATTTATCAAAACTCTTAAATCTTTCAACCAGCGTGCGTGCATATTTAAAAATCAAGGTAGGGGAATTGAATTCATTATTTGTGTTAGAAATAAAGTTCAAAAGGGGAAATTAAATTGTGCCTTAGTGATAATCGTTTAGCCACCAATTTGTTTGGAACCACAACAATAATTCAACGGTTCCGTTACGCAGCATTTTTTTTTCAATTCCTGCTCCGAAATATGATCAGTAAGGGATATTTCAGGCACTATACTGTATGTAGATACTACCCACAATGTATAGAAAGAAAAAAAATACCCTTTAAAAGTTGTTTTAAACGGAAAACCCCCTTTGCTGATTAAATAGACGATCTAAAATTAATGCAATAATGTTTTACAATATTTCGTTTTATTGGATGTTTGTAATTGATTATATTTACATTATTATATTAAAAAAAATACTTATAGCAGTATATAATTATGTATATGTCGTAGCAATAATATAAGTGTGGCAATAAGGTCTAGTGCATTTGCTTTTGTGTCTTTATTGGATAAATAAATCTATTGGTATAGAGTCCTGTCCCTGTCAGCTGTACACTCGCTTAAACAATGTACGTACATAAGTTCAAATTCTCGACGTTACTTAACTAAATATATTTTATAATATTGCGAGTAAATTAGTTGTTTAGTACGAGATGTATTTACGTAGTGTTGACACAGTTTAGTTTTGTGACACTCGCACGCAATGTTAGCGCAATGTTTAGTGCTATGCTGACGCAAAAAAACATTCACAAAATGTAATTTATTGCAAAAATTGTTTGAATTATTGTAATATATGTTAATACCAGCAGTAGCACTAAATACATCCTCGCTAACAGGTGGCTGTATGTTTGCAGAGACTGTTTAAAAGGAAGTTGCGTGTCAGTGGCGCCATCTGTGTATCGCGCTTCATAAATTTCATTATATACATATAAACACATTATATTTTTTGGATTTGCATGTCGGGTTAGTGGTAAGTTAAAGTGCCAAGAGTCGCGAGTCCTTTCCTAAGTGCAATTCCTTCTCAATTACTAATAACTGGAGTGTATATTTCTTGAATTCTTGGATAATGGGCCATTTCTGAGTCCTGTGCATCGCTTAGCCAAATGTCGACGAAACACGTTGTGTGCGGGATACCTTTAGGTCACTCATATCATGGATTTACGTAACAGTTATCTGTTCTGTTTTTATTTTGTAAAAAATTGTCTTATGAATTTAAGTCATTGTTAAATTTATGGTCGGTCGGTTAAGACTGTGTTATTTATAATAAAGAAACTTCAAAGGTATCCTGTGAGACGAACAAAAGTGAGAGATAAAATAAATAGTGAAATAAAAACCGCATATATATGTTTAATATACATAATTAATAAAACAGTAATGTTAATTATAATTATATAATTATGTTTTGTAGTGGACGTTTTATTCTCGATATAATAATGATGTACACGATACTTAGTCGAGATTATGTGTGTGAAGAGTTGCAATAGAAATGGTGGGATTTATTGCAACACTGCTTGCTGTACGCCGACTGTACTTATGCCCCTTTGTAGCGAAAAGCAACTCTGTAGAGAAAAACGTCTGTTCGCGTAAGTACAGTCGGAGTACGGCGCGTCGGTCGGGCCTTAGTTGTAAAAGTATGCGTGTCGTTTCGTTCGCAGATCTCGAGCGACTCGAGGCGTGCGCGTTTAAAATTTAAGAGGGGACAGAACAAAATATTATAGTATAAAATGAAAAATTGTTTACCAAACGCCCGTCCTGGGACGTTTAGACGAAAATATTATTTTTCTTAGGTCACATTATATTGTAATGAGGTAGTAGGGGTACGGGCGGATGCCTGCGAGCGGCCGCGAAAGCGCAAACGTCGTCAGGTTTAAAGAAAAAAAAATAATGATAATGAATATTTTTTTACGAGCGCCATCTCGCGGCCGCCGCCGGCAGCGCGGCATATTTGTTATGTTTAAGAAGAAAATATCTATTGTCTATTCCAAGGGTTGAATAACTACCAACACTTTTTTATATTACAATAATTATAGAAATTATTATTGAAATTGGTTGTTTTTATTTTAATCGCTACTACTTTTCAACTCATCGGATGTTAATTTCTTTGCAATGCGGTAGAAAAAGCAAAGCTCACTACAGATGGCGCTTTGGCCAATTGGCTTATAACAAGCGACTTGTCACTTCAAGGCTGCGTTATAAACCTACACTCTGAGTGTAACTTTTTACCCTGACGTTTCAATATTGACGTAAAATGTTTGAAACTTATGTCAAATATGGCATGTGTTGCACCTGGAGCATAGTTTGGAACGGAAATAGTCGGTTTTCCTCGTGATTTTGACAGCTGTTTCGATTTGTTGCTATGGGCCATTCGACGCCAGCGCTTCTGGCGGGATAAATTGACAGTTTTCTTCCGTATGGCAATAGTGAATACACGTGACTTAATTAAATATGAATTTTTATCGACGTGCCTGAGTAAGGATGCAAAAGTAAGTATTGTCATTTTTTTGCTAGCAAAAGTTTAACTTTATGCGCAAACAGCACATACCTTTGCTGCATCAAACAAGCATATGACCCGCCTTTTGGTAAGCGATAACTATAGCCTATAGACATAAAGCTTAACGATTCCAGAATATCACACGCGAATTGCCTACCCTGACTCTTACCTACCCCATAGAGACCTGGGAACTTTCTAACTAACAAAAACACAGCACCACCATCAAAGATATTGTTATTTTACTGTGATATTCTGTAAGGTGGTGTAAGGTTTCTGTGTAAATTACCAGCTAATAAAGGTTTGAATCATAAGAGGATTTATGAATAAAAGTGATCGGTTGGAATACTAACATGTATTTATTGAGCCTAGTTCCTTATATGTTTCTTTTTCTTCTTGGTCTTCTTGGCGTGCGAGTCTATCAGATCGTCGATCTCCTTGCTGTCCTCTCCGAGCCTCTTTTCACCGCTAGAACGAAACGATAAATAATAAATTTTATGTACTTAAGGTAATAATGAGGAGCTCGATGGCGCAAGTTGTTAGCACGTAGTAAGTTAGGTAACTTTCGCAGTAGTCGGTCATTGGATGGGTGACCATGGTGCTAGTAGCTAATATGGCCTATGAATAGCTCGATGGTGCAAGTGGTTAGCGCGTCCGGCTGCGATCGTTGAAGTTAAGCAACTTTCGCAGTGGTCGGTCATTGGATGGGTGACCAAAAATCTTCGATCACGAGTTCCTCCGTGCTTCGGAAGGCATGTTATGCCGTTGGTCCCGGCTGCATCTGCAGTCTTTAGCACCCACCAATACGTTCTGCTCTCGCGTGGGGAGTCATGGCCCAAACTCCCTATTCCATCCATAGGGAAGGCCTGTGCCCCAACAGTGGGGACATTAATAGGCTGATGATGATGACTGAATACAGTAATATTCATTCTTAGAATTTTATTGCGGCAAAAAATAATTATTAAATTAGTACAAATAATTTGATCAATTATATCAATATTATATCGAGCAATATAAAGGTGAAAAGGCAGATGGATAAACTTGAGAATTTTAGGAAAATAAAAAGGAAAGTTATAACGATGGTTAAAAGTAGAAGTAAGTTAATGGGCACGATTTTGACATGATCGTCTAAACTTAAAACTTTATTTGACATATCATGTCAAAATGTCAAAAGAAATAATACTTGAAAATCTAACTGGCTCCATCAATAAGTGCCTGATAGAAGGCACCTTTCCCGACACGCTAAAAATTGCAAAAGTGAGCCCAATTTTCAAATCAGGTACTAAAACCGACCCCGGGAACTACAGACTCAGTGCTTCCAGTAACATCAAAAATTTTTGAGCGAATTATATACAACCGTTTATTTGAATATCTAAATAAGAAAAATTTATTCACCGAATGCCAATATATATGGCTTTCGTCCAAATTCTAGTACTCTTTCGGCAGTAGTAGAATTAATTAGCAAAATCAAAACAAGTATAGACAAAAACCTCATTGCTTTGGGAGTATTTATAGATTTGAAAAAACTTTCGATACAATAAGTCATAACAATAACAAAAAAATATCAAATTACGCTTCACTTACTATTAATAATATTCCAATTCACCGATCACACGAAGAACGGTACTTAGGACTATGGCTTGATGATAAGTTAACGTGGAAACCACATGTCGAGCATAGATATGAGCGCCGCGCCGGCGCGCCGCCGCCGCCACGCTCCCCCCCGCGCCGCCGCCGCCGGCTGACTGCGTCGGCGCGCTGGCGAGTCGCGACTCCAATGATGTCAGACGTACCAACTTCTTGGTATACATACTAGTTTTTAGTGTCACGTACCATGTACCAAGGCTATTCAGTCCTTGTACGCAAAAATACCAAGATTGGCCGTTGACCGACAAAAATACACTGACAATATAGAATAATCGACAAATTTTAGAGATTCATGTAAAAAACAAATTCCAATCAATTGTACGTGCTTATAAACGATTAATATTCTTCAATTGATGAAAGAATCGAGTATATATAGTATATTTCTTGCGTGTGTTCGATAATCACTGCCCTCTATTAACGGTCTACGAAATTGAAATGTACATTTTTTTTACTGGGATGATGCGATTTCCCACAGAGCTCCCAGAATTGGCAGCGCCGCAGAGCGGAGCACAGGCGTACTAGTTTCCCGGCTCGAATACCAGCTTTCAGCCAGCTCGGCACAAGGATTTCTAGGTGCCCATCTAACATCCCTGCGCGACTCGCACGATCAGTGCAATCTAACATTACGGGTGTACGCACGTCTGCGAGTTGTAAAAATGGCAGTTACGGCGACAGAGATTGACATTTTAAAGACGAAGTTAAGTGAAATAAATGTGAGCGTATTAAGCAAAACTTCATCAAAACATAGTTTTTGCTGGAACTAAATATTTCGGACAGTTAATTGTAGATATCGACGGGAAGAAAAGAACAGTTTTGGGAGAGCAAATTTTCTGCGGGGCGTGCTTAAAACGTGAAAAAGATAATGATTGTGAAGTTTTGTTTTCTAAGTAAGTACCCCATAATAAGTTTAAATGTTATATCTGTCTGCTTAAACGCAGCTACCTAGGCTACTTGCAAGCGATTATCTGCTTTTGCAACTCGGTGCAGTGGCTCTTTTTGTTTCTGGTGGACACAGTCAGTGACATTTGACTCAATCAATTAATACTCCCGTTGTGACCTTAGATTAAAACAAAAAGGGTAGATACGGCACTAGCCTCACAATGGTGATCAGCACCAATTGTGGTCCACGACCCTAATCGCTTTAGTCACAACTTGACATGCAAACGACGTACATGTGAACGTCAAAAAGAAATATTGCTAATATTTTGTGTTTATATGATAAAACAATGCCTAAGTGTGTTTTTAAAAAGTGCTCAAATTGCTCAAGGACTAAAAATAAAACCCACGGCATCACTTTTCATTCGTAAGTACTATAAAATATATTTTTTCATAAAAATTGCTGTTTGTTTTGAATCTTATTCGGTAGTGACTAGTGACGTCGAGTACTGGTCGCGTGATTGGTCGGTAGTGCAGTGACGCGGTTCTCGTCGTCTCGTTCGCGCTGCTGTTGAAACTTAACGTGCTGTTTCGTTCGGGTCGGTAATGCAGTGACGCGGATCTCGCCGTCCCGTTCGCGCTGCCGTGGGATCAGTTTTTGTTTGATGCAAGTATGAGCGTACCGTATCTACCCTTTTTGTTTTAATCTAAGGTTGTGACCCCATTTAGGGGCATATGGAGGCAACAAGGGCCTTCCACTGCGCTCGATACTGTAAATTTTATAGTGGATTGATGAGTTGATAGTGGATTTTTCACATACAATTTCTTTTTTCAGAGCTCGCGTGAAAGTCTATAGCAAGAATATAGCTACTAGTAATCTTTTGCGCCACTTAAAAGATGAACACAACTTGGAAGACCATCTAAAGGCAAAAGTTGTACCTATCAAGGAGTTTTTTTCCGTCCAAAGAAAGTCTAAGCCTGTTTTAGAAAGCAGTGAAGCTGGTGGAAGAAAAGACAAGCGGTTGCTCGCAAGGGATCTAGCCCTTTGGTTTGCAAGATCATTAATGCCATTCGACAGCATAGATGATGAAGCCATGAGGGATTTTTTAAAAAAATATAACATTGTCGTGGCGGATGAAGATCTACCATCACGCCAAAACATTGCCCGAGAAGGCTTAGAAGACGTCTATAATAGCATGTTAGCATATATTAAAGGCATAATTCAACAACAGAACATTCAATTTGGGGCTGTGACATCAGATTTATGGACAGACCAATTCAGACGCCGTAATTACATACCTGTACCTTTCATTTTATTTCGAATGACATGCACCTTATGAAGTTTACTCTGGCAACAAAACAAGTTACTGGGAAACATTCTGGAGAAAAAATTAAAAAGGAAATTCATGACATATTGCAAGAATTTCTAATTCCACGGAGAGATATTGTCTTGGTGACAGACTCTGGGAGTAATATGAAAAGAGCTGCAAATTTACTAAACATGAAGAATCATCTTTGCCTTGGACATGCTTTGCATAACCTGGTCACCGTTGATGGTATCCAGAGTACCGATGAGATTCTTTCATTGATCACTAAATGTAAGAAAATAGTTAAACATTTGAGATACAGAGCACCGCAACTAGAAGCTGCCGCCAACGAAGAACAACGTGAACTATTGTTGTCTCTTGAAACAATTGGCGAACATTCAGATAACACAGACGATGACAGTGATAACACGTCAGCAGATGACGACAGGGATGACTTATCTACAACAAGCCTCACTACTGGTGCTCCTCCAACCATCAAGACAAGTACGCCTACTAGGTGGCACAGCATGTTAATGATGCTGACGAGCATTGCCCACAGTGCAAATCGTCGACCTATTAGAGACATGCTAATAGATATAGACCGCAGTGCTCTTTTACTCAATGAGAACGAGTATAATATGATTTTATACCTAACAACATTTTTGGAAAAATTCAAAACAATCGTGGATATTTTGAGTTCCGAATCGCAATCTACGATTAACTTGGCGTTGGTTTTTAAATCAGAGATAAGGCGATTATTGGAAGAGTGTAGCGATAGGGAGCCAGTCGTAATTACCAAGATGAAGAATAATATGTTGCAGAAATTGGAACACCGCTTTCCTGGCACAGATCTGATTGTAGCGGCCACTTTGTTAGACTGCAGATTTCATTCAATCAAGGAAATTGACGCATGCATGGAAAGTCGTGAGACTACCAAGGTACAATTTTTATCAAAAATGGTAAAATCTATTCTGAAAGACGAAGATTTTATTGACTCAACAGCCCAAGGAAGCCATAAAACACCTGAACCGAGTACCTCTGAGACTTCCTTCTTGTTCGATTTGGCAAAGCTGCATAGTAGCGCACAATTTGATGTGGAAAGCGATGTCGAAAATGAGTGCTGGAAATATTTCAGCACAGCCACATTTAAAGATCTTCAGCCCTACAATGATAACGTGCTTGAATTCTGGAAAGACCGACAAGTCTCGTTTCCTTTTCTGTCAAAGTTGGTTCGTGCAATATTATTTGTACCCGCGACAAGTACCCCAAGTGAAAGGGTATTTTCTGTCACTGGTCAAATAATAACAGCTAAAAGATCCCGCCTAAATCCTTTGAGGATAAATCGTATAATGTTTATATACGACTACTACGGTCACTGCAAAACTGATACTCCATAGTCCATATTAGTTATGCTTGTTTTAATGTGAAACGATGTATGATTTATTTTCGGTTACATTAATATTTTTAATATTTCATTCGATCACGTCTTTTTTGTTTAATTTACATTTCGGTTGATTTTTTTTCTTAAAAAGTAAATTCTTGTTTTTTTAAATATTTGATTTTAACATGTGTAGGATTAAAAATATAACTCGAAAGGTTATAGATAGATAGTAATTGAGACAATAATTGAGAAATTAT